ATAGCTAGCTCTTAAAATGAAGAACAAATACTGCTGGTGACTGAAAAGCAAAAGTAGTTGTATCAGTGTTTGAATCGTCACTTCATACCAAATGTAAAACAGGTGAAAACTAATAGGTTCTTTTACTAGCCTGACCTTTTGAAAGACATTATCAAGTTTAAAGAAGTCAGTAAGAGAGAATTATACGACCCTTTCTGTCAATTAAATGAAAACTGGTTGGCCAACACACTGACTTGAAACTTCTTGCTTTTGGTCGTGGAGCTTTTCTTACATAACTACTGCATTTTACTACAAAAACTGAGAGACAATTACAGTCGCATGCTTTCAAGAATGGTTATGGATTTATTTTATAGTTGCAGCTTATGAATAGTAAGCAACAAATCCCTTTTACGCTAACCATTAAGTCTTCTTTTTACAATAAATGCACAAAGGAATAAAACTTGGCTCTGAATTTATTTGGAGTTCTGCAGAAGGAACCTTATAACTACAGGTTCCCTGAAATTGCAGATGGCAACCAACACTAAGGCTGCGTTCACACTGCAGGCTGAAGTGACCCAATTCCGATTTTTTTGACATCATGCAACCTGCATCCGATCTTTTCATGACAGTCTGAACCGCACAGGTCAGATTATTTTCAAATGCGACCCAGGTCACTTGGATATCCGATACGTATCCGATTCAAATGCAACCTAACGTCCAGGCCGCATTCATCCAAACTGAACGTCACTGATAGTCAACAAATCTCATTATCCACGTCCTGATACGTGCAAGCGGGAAGAAAAACAACAACCATGACGGACTATAATGAGGATTAAGTTGTTAATATGCTGGTTCCGGTTGGACAACAACTTCAAATATGTAAGCTAAGCTCCACTGTTAGCCTCCATGTTTACTTCTGCAAACACTGAGCACTTCTTCTTTTTATGGCAGTTAGCAGAACGCCTAGAACGCTGACGTTATTGTGCCCTCTACTTTGCATGCAGGACACTTTCAGGTCGTTGCCCGGTCACACTGCAGAACATGTACAGGTCGCATATGTTTGGAAGTTTGAACGGCCCCGGCAAAAAACATCTGATTTAACAAAAAATCTGAATTGAGTCACTTCAGGCTGCAGTGTGAGTGCAGCCTAACTGCCACTTACTCAAGAGTGAAGAGGAAGCAGCTCAACCAGGCCTGACCCAGAGCTGGCAGTTTGGTTTGTGCTACTCATGTTGCACAAACCAGAACTAAGAAGGTCCCCTTCTTTCCAAGCTGACCTTTCCAAGCCATGCATCACTGCTGCTAACTTTTCCATGCGTCTGTGGAGCGTGAGATAAAAAGGAGATTCTAGGCGAAGCTGTTTTCATCACCAGGCTGTAATAGTAAACAGATCCCTGGGTCAAGACCAGATCTGAGGCTCTATCAGGAATAATTAATGAAAGAAGAAGAAGGGAGATATGAGTGGGTTAGAGTTGGCGATGGTGGTGGTTGGTGTTTTTCTCCATCTTTAAAACTCAAATCCTTTTAAAGTTTTGGATATTATGGTGGCAGGGAACAGAATCTAAAAATAATGAAGTAGAAACAATTTTAAAATAAATCTGCACAAATAAACTGCACAGTTTACCATATAATGATTGTAAAAAAAATTGCTTTTGGTAGATCTAGCATTATTTTCTGTAGTCTATGTATTGTTAACAACGATGATGTCTTAGTGTTTCGACGGACCATGCCACTCCAAATATCAATCAACACCTGCAGTTTTTAAGGAAATATGTCATTTCTGAACAGGTGACCTTTGATGACCTGGAGAGATTGGTCGACTTTTCTTGGGTATTTTTCAGAGCCTTGTTGCTGAAATACAGCAGTAACATCCTTTAAAAACATGTCGACTGCATTTAGTAGAATGCAGTAAACGTGCTTCTGTGTGCAGGCATAGCAGGCCACGCAACAGATGGAGGTTGACAAGAAAAAGGAAGCTGCAACACTATAGTTAGAAAAAAATAGACTGTTGTTTGTGACCTGTGATGTTGAAATTTGTACTAAAAAATGCATTCTTCCTCTACCGATAAAAAATGTAGATGTCTGTTATCTTGAGATATGTTAACTTGTGAACTCCTCCTTCTCTTTTCTGTATAAAATGGCATTGTACGGCTAGCAGGTGGACGGTTTCTCAATTTTACTTCCACAACAGTTTTGTCTGTTTCACTTTATTTTTTTTGCATCCTCAGTTATTTTATATTTCTTTGCTGAAGAAACTGAAAAAAAAATAAAAAAAAACCTAACTAAGGTACAGAAAGAATTGAAAAAGCTTCAGCATTCATCCGCACAGAAGCTCTTCATACAGGTATGGCTCTTTTATTGCTCTCTGAAATGTCAGAATAATTAAACTTCTTTAAGGCAGGATTTTGGTATACTGAAACTAAGATTATCAATGTAATACTTCAACTTAATAATAAGTGCAATATAAAAAGAAGAACCCCGTTACATATCCCCGTTGTACACACAATTATTCACTGCCATGTTATTGTTTATTCTTGAGTTTAATTATGCTGTTCGGTCATTTATTTCTGTTCCTAACTTTTCCCTTAAAAGTTATGTACATGTCCAAAAAAGGTTTAATGTTTCTAAACAGATATGTTCTTGCTGCTTCTAAGGCGTAGCTGCATTATCCTCTTGCACCTCTTCCTCTCAGCTACAGCTGTCCACAATCACAACATAAACCTTTGACACTCAATCTTGCTGCAGTGCAAACCAACATTACAGAACAAATATAATTAATATTCAGATTCATTTCACTTACTCTGTCAAAGAACTTTGAGAAAGTAACTTGTGCTTTTCTTACATTATGCTTGAACTTCTGTTATTCTGTATTCTAGTATCTTCAGTTCAACATTTACAAGGGGTCAAAAATTCACCTGCATGTATTTTTCCTAGACAGAAGAGTGTTGATCACATTCCATCTATGCTGGCCTCTCTACTCTGGCTTCCTGCTTATTTATGGGTTGATTTCAAACTATTATTTCTTAATTTTTGTGTCCTGATATTAGTTCACCCCTGACATCATAAGATACACCCATAAACCTCAACCAATGCAAAAGGTCTCACAAGTTTTCACAAGTATTCATAGATCTGCTTTTAAAAGTACAGGCGGCAGAGCTTTGTTAGTGGCAGCACCTAATTTAAGGTGTGTTTGTACATTGAAACCACCCAGACCAAAATATTTTGTTTTTGTTTTTAAAGTTGTCTGCTGAGTCAAGATGGCAAGGTTGGTCATTTGGGTCACTGTCTTCATCTTATTTGGATCCTGTCTTGGAACTCCACTAGAGAAGTTCAACAAGGTGAAGAAAACTTTATCTGTCTGTCTAATTGTTGAACAATCACACATGTAATAAACCGTAATAATAATCAGTAATGCGTTTCTGTTCAGTTTTTGCAGAAATGTAAAAAATGGATGGGCTGCCCAACCCAGCTGGATATGGCTTCAGACTCTGTTGATGACATGTACGACAAATGTGAAGAGAAGATGAAGGAAGAAATAGAGAAAAAATTTTTACCAAATGAGCAAAACAAAAATAAAAACTTCAAACAGGCCTGGAATAATGCCGAGGAATACTACAAGAGAAAATGGGAGAAGAAGAACCCGCAGCTGAAGAAAGAACAAATCATGGCTCTTCATGCGTACACCCTTGATGACCCACCTTTATACCGTGAATTCAACGACGCAGTCCGAACACAAAAATCTGAGTACAAAACCAAATTCCCGTATCACACTCTGCACTTCTACCTCACCATGGCTCTGCGCACCATCAAACCTAAAGCAGAAAATTGTGTCACCGTTTTCCGGAGAACACCCTGTAAATTCACCAAAAATGTTCTCAACAAAGAGATTCGTTTTAGTGCTTTTACCTCCAGTTCAATGGGTGAATACTGTGACAAAATGTTTGGTGAAGAATCGTGCTTTGAGATCTCCACATGTTTTGGAGTAGACATCTCACAGTACTCCAAGTTTGAGACAGAAAGAGAAGTCCTGATCCCTCCTTACGAGGTTTTTAAAGTTAAAGAAATAAAGAAAAGCTCTGAGCTCAACAAGCTTCCTTGTAAGGTTGTCTACAAACTTCAGAGCACAAAAACAACTCATTCCAATCTGAACTGTACTTTTTTCAGCAAGAAATGAAAAATTCTGCTCTTATTGAAACATTCTGGAAATAAAAATAACTCTGCCAATTTGGACAAAATGTTATATTTTTTTTCCAAAGAAAATGGGCCTAATCAAATCCATTTTACACAGTGATGTCATTAGATAATATTATAACAAATATACAACAGTGAGTGTGAAAACCTATGTAAGATTTTGAATAAGTGTTTAAATTGTGAAGCTGGATTTCAGTAAGGACAGATAACATTAGTTTGCTCTACAACCATTAACTTTCTTCTCTTTTTTTCTCAATAAAATGTAAGCCCAAATCATTGCTATGAATTTTTTCTGACTCAGCTTGTTACAGCAAATGGCCTCCCAAACTGAACTTTGTGATGTCTGTATGCAATTTCAACAGTGCAAAAAAAAAAAAAATCAATAAAAGTAAAATGTCAAATGCTTCATTAAACATGGACATTTCTTAAATGATGATGACATGCATTAATTCCATAAAACCATCCTCACACACAGTTGTGAGGACGGTAAAGATGGTAAATGACAGTAAAGGGAGAAAAGATTTTTACGTTTTCATATTCTAATAAGGCATATTATCATTAAGACTTTATTTTATGTCATGGTTGCAGGCTGCACCAAGTCATAAATATTTGTTTTCTGTCTGCCTCACTCGTCAGAGTCAAAGGGAAGGATCGCTGCTGTTAACAAGTCAGATGTCAAAGTTTAAACGACACGCTAATTTTATAGTGCATGCCAGTAAAAAAACACCCATAAAATTATACAGAAAACACAGAATAAGAATTTTTAGAACATTTTGGAACCCATTTATCTGCAACGTGTATTATCAAAAGCGAGTCATTCTTTCTTACTGTCGCCACATGCTTGCTCAAGATGATTTCTTTTTTTTTTCCTAAGACTATGGTCATCTGCATAAAGATGGTATGTTTAAATTCGGATCGTGCACTGGACTGCATCTGAAACTAGATTTTAATCTGATTGCATAATTAGAAGATTGGGTAACACTTTATTTGAAGGGGGTTGAATAAGACTGACATGACACTTTCATAAACATGACATAACACCTTCATGAATATTTATGACTGTTGTCATAAAGTGTCATTCAGTAAATTATGAC